TAAAAGCGTCCCTGAGGGTCTGCCGGGCCCTGAACGGGGCTATGTTGATAGAGGTGGCCTCAACGTCGGGGCGTCCGCCGACCGGCTTGCGAAGGAGCTCCGCAAGCTGGCGGCGGAAAAAGGCCCCGGTTACCGCGTTCAGAGGCCGGCGAAATTTGCAGCACTGCGGATAGCCGGCCTGGACGCGACGACCGGGGCCGAGGAGGTGGCGGCCGCTGTGGCCCTCGCTGGGGGATGCTCGCCGGAGGAAATTTCCTTCGGCGAGATAAGCGTCTCCCAGCGAGGAATAGGCGCAATGGTGGTGCGGTGTCCGCTGGCGGCGGCCGCTAAGGTCGCCGCCGCGGAGCGGGTCCCGGTAGGATGGACTCGCGCCGGAGTGACGGTGCTGCCCGCTCGCGCAACGTTGTGCTTCCACTGCCTAGAGCGGGGCCACGTGCGCGAGCGGTGCACCAGCGCCGTCGACCATAGCGGTATGTGCTACCGCTGCGGTAACTCCGGCCACCGCGCCAAGGGATGCGTGGAAGCGGTGCGCTGCCCGGTGTGCGCCGAGGTAGGCAGGCCCTCCGGTCACAAGATCGGAGGACCTGCCTGCAAACCCCCTCCTGGAGGGAAGAGAAAAGGAAGAAAGAAGGAGGGGGAAGGATAGGAAGTGAGGTTGAAGAAGGACAGAGACGGGGCAGAGGCCTGAACTGCCACCGTCGAGGAACTTCGGGATTCAACGCCGCTCAGGGAGGAGGCTAGAACAGCCTCCTCCCCGCCGAGGAAAAAGGAGGCCGAGATAGTTCCGCTCACTCTAGAGGAAAAGGGGGCAGGGGAGGACTCCCACTCCCACTCCCTAAACCTCATCGACTTCGATTGGGAGCCGGAGGAAGGAACCCTACCCCGAAAGAAGAGGAGAGGGGAGGAGGAAGATGACAGGACCGAGGACGGCTTAGAGATGGACGCCCAGGCGACAAAGGTGAGGAGAGTGGACCCCTTGGGCCCACTCCCAACGGATGTAGGAAAAGGGGTGTCGGTGGGAGCGCTGCCCCTGACTCCCCTACAGGTTGGCTCCCCCTCGTACCCCCCAGAGGAGGAGACCACGCAAGTAGGGACCCCCCATATCTCCGCGGAGACACCCGCATTAGAGGCCACCACGGCCGAAACCCCCTCCGGAGAGACCGAGACGCCAGAGCCGTCGGAAGTCTCCCACGAAGAGGGGGTTGAAGTAGGCCGCCCGGAGGAGGCATGAAAGGCTTAGCCTTCACGCTACTCCGGGCCCTACAGGCCAACCTCGGCCGCGGCGCCCGGGCTCAGGATCTCTGCTTGCAGAGAATGGCTGAGCTGGGCGCCGGGCTGGGGGTGGTTGCCGAGCCGTACTGGGTGCCGGTACCAGGTCCGAACTGGTTCGGCAGCCCGGACGGCTCGGTGGCCATGGTGGCGAACCCTGCGGCGGGGACCCCTCCCTGTACTTTTAGGGAGAACGGATCCTTGTACGTGGCGGTCGATTGGGGGCCCATCATTGTGGTGGGGGTATATCTCCCCTACCGCAGGAATAAGGCCGGTCTCGGGGAGCTCGCCCCAGTGAAGAGGGTCCTCGACAGGATCGGGGAATTGGTACGTAGGTGCCCGGCATCCCCGACCTGTCGTGATTGCCGGGGACTTCAACGTCCACTCGGAAGGGCGGAGTTGCAGTCCCTGGCAAAGGGACCCTCGGGGCGAGTCCGTGATCGGCTGGGCAGCGGGGCTGGGCCTCTTGTTAATGAACAGGGGCTCAACCAGCACCTGTGTGTGGCCGGGGGGGAGTTCGATCATAGATTTGACCTGGGCCATCCCCTCGGCCGCCGGGATGTCCCACGAATGGAGGGTGGAGGCGGAGGGCGAATCGCTGTCTGATCATAGACATATAGCGTGGGCTCTCCGCCTCCCCAAACCCGCACAGGTGCTGGCCCGCTGTCCAGGGGAGGGGAACTTTCCCCTCCCCAAAAGATGGACTCTTAATCGACTAGATTCGGAAAGGTTTCGGGCAGCCGTCCTTGCGGCCACCTGGCACCTAGACGTGGGGCCAGGTGAGTGGGACCCCAGCCCCGCGGATGGGACTGGGGAAATAGTGGGCATTGTGGCGTCGGCATGCGACGTCGCGATGCCCCAATCCCACCCCCGCCGGCGCCAGGCCATGTACTGGTGGACGGAGGAGCTGGTAGCCCTCCGAGACTCCTCCGTCCACGCCAGACGTGCGTACTATCGGGCCCGGCGACGAGGCGGGGACGCCGGAGGGACAAAAGAGGGCTACCTGAGAGTCAGGAAAGCCCTCAAGGTCGCCTTCGTCGAGGCCAAGCGAGCGGCCTGGGAGCAGATGGTGAGCTCCCTGGACGATTCGTGAGGACGCCCATACAAAAGGGTCATGGGGAAGATCCGCCCATGGGCGCCCCCACCAACGGAGACGTTAGACTGCCAGGCCCTCGAGGGGTTCCTGGATGCCCACTTTCCGAAGGCAGAAGGGGGCCCCCCCATGATCCCGACCCCCCCGTTGGGGGAGGGTGGTTGGGACGAGGGTCTGGCGGTGAGTCCAGAGGAGCTCACTGCGGCCAGGAAAAGGCTCGGGGCCAAGGGGAAAGCCCCTCGCCCCGACGGAATTCCTGGCCGGGTCTGGGCCCTCGCCCTCGGCGAGGGAAACCTGTCCGAAGCCACACGCAGGGTTTTCAGCGGATGTCTGAAGGAGGGGGTATTCCCCCCAGAGTGGAGGAGAGCCAGACTGGTCCTCCTCCCCAAAGAGGGCAAAGCACCCGGGAGTGCGTCGGCTTACAGGCCGATATGCCTGCTGGACGAGGCGGGTAAGATGCTGGAGCGCATCGTTGCCGACCGCCTCGTCCAGCACCTGTCCTCGAAGGAGCCGGACCTCCACGACCGCCAGTACGGGTTCAGGCCCGGAAGGTCAACACTGGATGCTATCCAGTGCTTCCGGGACCTGACCCGGGCGGTCGTAGAGGAGGAGGGCGGAGTGTTGTTGGCAGTGTCGTTAGATATAACGAACGCCTTCAACACCGTGCCCTGGCCGGAGATTGGACGGGCTCTCGAACACCACGGGGTGCCCGTCTATCTCCGGCGAATCCTATCGGCCTACTTCGGGGGCAGAGACCTCGCTTTCCCGGTGGTGGGCGGGGTCCAAGGCCGGCGCGCTATGGAGCACGGTGTTCCGCAGGGGTAGGTTCTCGGCCCCCTGCTATGGAACATCGCGTTCGACCGGGTGCTGCGCACTCCGCTTCCCCTCGGTTGCCACGTCGTCTGATACGCAGACGACACGTTAGTGGTAGCCGGTGGGGAGAGCTGGGGGGAAGCCCGCCTCCGCGCGGAGACGGCATTGGTGTCAGTGGTGAGTACCATTAGAGACCTGGGTCTCAAGGTGGCGCCCAATAAGACCCAGGCCGTGTATTTTCACGGCAGGGGTCGAAGGGCGCCGCTGGGGACCCAGGTGCTCGTAGATGGAGTTCTCGTCCGCGTCGGGCCGACGATGCGATATCTCGGCCTGACGCTGGACAGCTGGTGGAGCTTCGGACCCCACTTTGGGGAACTGGCCCCCAGGGTGCACAAGGCAGGACTGGCGGTGGCCAGCCTGACGCGCACCCAAGATGGGGCCCAGGATGGAGGGCTCGCCGCCTGTACGTCACGGCGGTGCTCTCGATTGCTCTGTACGGGGCGCACATTTGGGCGCCACAGCTGGGGGCCTGCCGCAGAGGCAAGTGCGCACTGCGGGAGGCCCTGCAGCCCGTGTTAATCAGGGTGATTCGGGGGTACCGGACCATGTCATACATGGCGGCGACCACCCTGGCCGGCGTTCCCCCTGTGGAACTCCTCGCAGAGGAGCGTCACCTCCTATATTGGAAAGTGAAGGAGCTCCGCAGGGAGGGAACAGTGTCGGTCAGGGCCCTGAGGGGTCTGAGGCTCCAGGCCGAGGCCCGGACCCGGGAGAGACGGGCGGAACTATTGTCCGACCCCCCGGGGTCCCGGGCCAGCGACGGCCGCGGCTGTCCGCCCCTGCCTGTCCGAGTTGACAGGCAGGAGGAGACGTGGACTATCCTTCCGTCTGGCGCAGGTGCTGACCGGGCACGGGTGCTTCGGTCGGTACCTGCGCCGGATAAGGAAGGAGCTCATCACTCGATGCCACCACTGCACATGGTCAAAGCCATGTGCGGGAACGAGGAAGCGTGGACAGCGGCGATCTCCTTCTGTGAGACAGTAATGTCCCAGAAGGAGACCGCCGAGTGGGGGCGAAGACCGTACCGGGGCTGCGGGGAGCAGCTCCCGGGCGGACAACGCCCCCAGGGGAACGAGGGACGCGACAGCGGGCCCGGGGCAGCGCCGGCCGAGGGGGGCTTACAGGCCCGCGAGGGTCGGGAGTCCCCTCGGCCGCCCCGGGCCCGCCACCGGTCGCAAGGGGGGAGTAGGGGGCGGCGAGACGCCTTCCCTGCCTTCCCCCCCGAGCGTCCGGACAAGTAGGGACAGGGGGGAGCGGTGCCCCGGTTGGGGCCGGGCCCGCTCCCCTATAAATCCTCCCCTCCCTGACTAGCAGGGAGGGGGGTAAGGAGGGGGGGATGTCCTCTCCCTCCTTGACAGGGGACACCAGAAGGCCAACTGGCGGAGGGTAACCCTCGTCGGGGACCGCGCCCTGAATTCCCTTCGTGGAACAGGGCGCGGTACACAGGTGGTGAGGGGTTCCCGGAAGGGAGCCCTAGGGCCGGGGGGTTGGGGAGGGAATACGGGAGTAGTTCCCCCGACTCCCCTCCTCACGGTCCGACAGGTAGACATCACGCAGAGGTTTTAGTCGGTAAGAGTACGACATAACTCCCTCCCCTCCCCAAGGGGAGGGGGTATCCATGATGGATTTCCCCTGCGTGACCAAAAAAAAAAGCGTCGGAGAATCGCTAACGGATGTAATCGAGCGATAGCCGTAATGTCTTTCGGTGCCTTGTTACATACATTTAGGTTCGGGTAATAAATAATATAGCAAATATGTATGGTTTGTATATATTATATATTTTTTTCACAATTATTTAGTGCTAGAATTATATAATCAAAAAACAATCAAATACAATTGCACGTTGAAATACAATCAAATAATAAGAAATAAGAATAATTGTTTATTTAATAATTTTTATGAACATTGAAGCTTCTAACCTCTTGCTGCAGCTATATTGAAGAGTGATAGCATCATTCGGAAGCAATCAACGCGGAGTTCTCGATTTAGGGGCTAGAAGCCTTAATGATTATTGCATCATTTTTTAAAGTTGTAGTTGTAACTTGCGCTTTTTCTTTTCAATTTCTTACAAAACTTATTTTATGAAGTTATATTTTTTTTATTCCACGTTTTTGGTTATGTATCCTTGTTTTAACACTTGCTGCACTTCGTTGCTGCACTTTGAGCTAATAAATCAGGATGTCTTTGTAAAAAATTTCCAATTTCATTGAAAGGTAATTTTTTGTTATGTCTTTTCAAATAATGCCTAAAAGCATCGAGAACGAGACGTTTTTCTTCTTCCGTCCATCGATTTCGATTTATCACTAAAGGCGTAAAGATATTATTACTATTTATAAATTTTATTACAGTAAAGTCATAATTTAACCCTTTGCAGCCGGCAGATTTCGAAGAGATTGATAAACATTGGTATCTGTAAGTTGATCTAAACATTTGAATCTAGCATCGGGAGGATAGTTTTCTTTCATTATTGCTAGCCCCGGTCGCCGTGCTGCGCGCTAAGCGATCATGAATGCCACCGACTTCTACGACGGCTTGCAAATGCCGCCACTGTGGCGGCATCGACTGCAAAGGCTTAATATGTTGTACGGATCGTAATAGCAAAAAATATTATAACTTAACAATATTTACGTTTTGTCCTTTGTAAAAATTAATATAAATTATGATATTACACTTACAGGGTTTATTTTTCTTCTTATTTCTTTTTTGTTTTTTACGAGACAATTGTTCATTAAAATATTCCAAATCTGTATCATTTTCTATGTCATTCTCTGTATTATTGCTCAAGTCAATATCATCGTTAAATGTTTCAAATGTACTAGAACCTATAACGTATATTATGTCATATTTTATAGAAACGTATATTATGTCATATTTTATAGAAACGTATATTATGTCATATTTTATAACTATTAGTACAACTTTAATACATGATGCAAGTATAAGTTAAAAATTTATTCAGTGCCTGACAATGAATGGCGCAACGCTTGTGTACGAATAGAGCAAGTAAAAAGAAAGTATATTATAAATTTCGTAATAATTATTAAAAAATAAGTTAAATAATGAACGCATGAATATACGCTGTAGACGATAATGCTAGTAATTTTGTAAATAAGATCTCGTTTAAGATAACTCGAATTTATTGATAATAAACTATACGTGATGCTGGACTACATTTTTTTAATATTATTTTTAATATCACACAATGCCGTTGCCAGAACTTACAATGCCCATCATTTTTCTTATTTTTATTTCGTTTTTTGCCAATTATTTATTAAAATTTTCCAAATTTTTGTCATTTTCTATATTATTGTTGCAGTCACTATTATCGTAAGATGTTTCCCATGTACTAGAACCTGTAATAGAAACGTATATAAATATATATACATATAGGTGCCTATAGGGTGGCTGACAACAAAGTTACAAATCTTATAAAAAACATAAAAAAATATCGAGATATGTACAAAGGACGGGAAGAAATTGAAATCGACTACGTAAAGTTTTGAGAAAAATTGCTAAATAGATGAGCGAATAAACGCGCAATAGGCGAGTATCGCGGGCCTGTTACTCCGCACGACTTGGGCTGGAGTAGCAGGCCCGCGATGCTCGCCCATTGCATGTTTATTCACTCATCTATTTAGCAATTTTTCTCAAAATCTTACACAGTCGATTCCAATTTTTTTCCATCCTCTGTACTTATTTCAATGATTTTTATGTCTTTTATAATTTGTAAATTTAGTCAGCCATCCTGTATAAAATGTCTGAATAAAATGAATGTCCTGTATAAAATGTCTGAATAAAATGAATGTCCTGTATAAAATGTCTGAATAAAATGAATGTCCTGTATAAAATGTCTGAAAAATCTTGAAGTAACTATAGATGCAGGTACATTAGATAAGTTATGATAGCGATGCTTGCTGTTGTATATTTGTAGATTAGATTAAAGTGAATAAAAAGACCAATTATTTTGTAAATAACCACATAGATTTTGTTATTAATTAAAGAACAGTGTATTATTGCGTGCAATCATTTGCGATCAACTTTAATTAATAACTAAAAAGCCTATGCAAAATGATAAAGAATTTTTTATTTAGTTTGACTTACACATATACGAAAGGAGTAAATATTAGGCAAATACCCTATATATCTTTGGTTCATGTGTTCATCATTTATAATTTCTAAATTAATTTAATAACTAGACTAGAAATTATAAATAATGTTATTGCTGTCATATTTAAATTATAATCCAGAAGCTCAGTCATGGATCTTTTCTCCTTGTGTGAATTTGTAAAAGTAAAAAGCTAATCAAGAAAATAATTCAGGAAAAGATCCATGATGGCCTCTTCGTTTTTTGTCTTAATATGCAAATGAGAAAGCAAGTAACTGGTTTAACATATAATTAAATTGTGCTAAAATCATTATAGTCTATAAAAATTTCATTATAGTCACTCAACATAAATAAAATGTGACAAATGTTATATTACGTGCTACTCTTACAATAATACCAGTTACTTTTTGCTTACTAAGATAATTAAATACCTTTTTAAAATTGTTTGTTACAAATATAATAAATACATACCTTGAACTAGTTGTCTAGATGTAGTTATATTAAACTCATCGCTGTATGTCTTTTGGTTTGTGTTTTCATTATCAAAGATCGTAGAATCCGAATAGTCACTATCATTGTCTTCGCTGTTCCCTTGTGCTGCTTCCAAATATTGTGATACTTCCAATATTTCTTTCTCAATAACAAGTTGTCTGTAGTGACTTAAATGTATTTTGTCACTGTAACCCATAAAGTTCGCAAATGCTGAGATCTCATTTTCTGATAAGTTATAATTGATACATATTGTCGCTATATGTTTATGTAACTCAGTTGCACGTAAGGTCTCTGGTTTTTCTGCACCACATTCTAACGCATATTGTCGCAATAAATCACAAGCCAAAAGATATTTGTATTTATTTTTTGCAATAGATGGAAGACCAAATAAATATGGGTTTTTTGAAGAAACTCTCGCAGCTTTTCTATACCTTAGGATCATATCAATGCAATTTCTTAATTCTTCAGTTAATAGGACTGGTACTGATCTACCAAGTTTACCTCTTAAGGTAAATAGTATATATTTCTGAGCTATCTGCTGAGCATGTATTGAAAGTGCTTTATACATGTCATTCGTCTGATAATTGATTCCTTCATAACTTTTATAATCTTCAATTAAAGTTCTCTATATGTTCAATTAAAGTTCTCTGTATTTCTCCAGCTCTACGGCGATTGAAAACTTGTACACTAGTTAATGTTACCTTTATAAGCGTAAGCCATGTGTTATAAGAAAACTCTTTTTTTAAAGAATTATACGCTATTTGACGTTTCTCTTGTAAAAAGTTGTAAAGCTTAATAATATCAGATTTTGAAGGCAAAACAATTTTTTTGTGTCTTTTATTTCGGCTCATTGTCTCAGATATTGTTTTAGAAATATGCGTATTAAAATCTTAAGTAAATACTTTTAGAAAATCTTCTGTTAGTAATTTCTTATTGTTATCTTCCCTCCTGATATATCGGTTGATTAATAATTTTCCTATTTCTTTTAACAACATTCCGAGTGCAGATGCTAACGACGAGATTTTATAAAATTTTCCGCATAAAGACAATCTTGATAATATGTTTATAGCGTCGATACAAGCACTACTATATTTTGGAAAATAAATGGAAGCAAAATCTTCAACTTCAGGATGTTTATCTTTTAATAAGTTGAATAGACGACCGATTTTTCTTATTTTTTGTCTTATCATATTATCATTATGATCTGAAGTTTTATATTTTTCACACTGTTGATTTCCATAGGCAATAATTAGTTCGTCATAACGTACAAGTCGTATAATGTTATCTTCTCTTAAAATAGGAAAAACACGTAATCTTAAAGCACTGCTTGCTTCATGATTCGATCCAGTACCTTCCTGCCTAAAATCGATATCGTTCTAGTATATTTAGTTTTGGATATAATACATCTGTTATAGTTATGTCTGCTTGTACACTTTAATATAAATACTTTGCATTTTGGACATACAACATAATCAGATGGTAATATTTTATATATTTTTTTAGAACGCCTTTCTACGAGCAATTCGCCGTTATTTCGTGCACAATCAACATTAAAATAAAAATTTCCACGTCTTCGGATTGTTTGGATAATTTTCCTTCGCTCCACACTTCCTTTCGGTCAAGTTTTAAATTTTTGTACCTCTAATTCATTACCGTGTATTCGTTCCAAATGACGAACTATTTTACATTGGAATGTATTGCAGTACATAAAAATGTTTTCTTTTTCCCGCATCCAGAGGCAAAACAAACATTTCGGTGTCATCTCGGGCACCTTTTCCTGATACATTTATAAACATGGATACATCCAATCCGCCAGATGTATTTGTGGAATTATTAGTTTTTTCAACAATAGAATTTGATTCTTTATTTATTGTAGGTTCAGCTAAACTTCTATCAGATGAAGTGTTCGATAGTATATAAGAAGTATCCTTTTCTAAATTGTCTTGCACACTGTTATTACTAGTGATGCATTCTGAAAAAATCAATAACATTTATATATATTTATAAGAAGTAATTTTAGTTTTAAAATAATAATATACCTCCAGTGGACATATGACTATCATCAGAATGTTCAGTAATTGTATTAACTGTAGCTATTCTTTCAGTAGAAGTGCGTTCATATATATTATCATCTTCATATATCTCAAACACATTGTCATTCCAGTAATAATTGTAAATTCCTAAATTTATATACAATGTGCAATAAAATATAACACAAAATAACATATAAATTAATTTTTCATAAAATTTAAAATGTATTTATTACTAAAATTATGTATAATTTCTGATAAAAATAATATGTTATTACAGTAAAATAAAAATATTTGTAACCATAATCATATAAATTGGTTATTTCAACACGCATATAATTTATATTATTTCTCTCTACGATTATATTTACAAATAATAAACATTTTTCTCAGTTTATAATAAATTATTATAAAAATTAATAAATATTTAATAGATAAGTTAAAATATAGATTCTGTATAATTAATGAGATTAGTAATTAAATAAAGAAGTTAAAAAGGTCTCGATATTACCCAAATATCTATATAAAAGTTCCCGTATAAATAAATAAGTATAAACTTAAATCGGGACAAGATATATTTTAAAATAAATGTAACAATATAAATCTATCTATATGTTTGCTCATATCGATGTGAAAGTTTATACTTATTCATATAAATTAGTAAAATTTCTGGAACCTTCATTTGATTTTTCTCTATCACTTTCCATTTGTCTACATATTTTTGTATATATTTCACTCTCCAATTGTTCACAATTCTCTGTATCTAATTCACATGTCTCAGTATGATTATTCTTATCTTTCATCATGTTAGTGGGTTCGTTTTCATCATTTTTATCAGTAACATCAGGAATGATAGTATATTCTGTTGCCTTTATCATATCGTTTTCTGAACAAAATATATTAATTCAATTTATGATTTATAATTATTAATTAAATAAATAAGTTAAACAGGCCTGAAAGGTACTCAAATATCTAAATAAAAGTACCCATATCAGTAAATAAGTATAAATTTAAAGCGCAACAAGATATATTTTAAAATAAATATAAATAGCAATATAAATATATCTATATGTTTGCTCATATCGATGTGAAAATTTACACTTATTTATATTAATTAGTAAAATTTGTGAAACCTTCATTTGATTTTTCTCTATCACATTCCATTTGTATATATGCCTCTGTATTTATTTCACTCTCCATTTGTTCACATATATCTGTATCTAATTCACATGTCTTAATATGGTCATTGTTATCTTTCATCACATTGGTGGGTTCATTTCCATCGTTTTTTTCAGAAAGATCAAGAATGACAGTATCTTCTGTTGCTTTTATCACATTGTTTTCTGAAAAAAATATATTTATTCAATTTATAATTTATAAAATACACAAATATATTTCACATTAAGACAAAAAATATCTTATCTTGTTCTGGGCTTTAGATACATCCTGAAGTACTAATGTCAATGTACGTTGCAACACAATTTTTGCAACATCTCCAACCTAGGATTTTTTAATATCATTTAGTACATTAATATTTTCTATAATATAAAGAAATATAGTATCGAAGACTTCAATAATTTTATTTAAGATTACATTTTTGTAAGTACATTATTATATTTACCATGATGTGCTAAGATATGACAAGTATATCTTTTACCATCTTTATATTTTGCGATATATTCATTCTTGGATTTCACTACATTTTTTCTTTGACACACATAATATATACCGTCAGTAAATAATATGAGTACATACATTGCGAATATTTAACACAAATTGCTCACTCGTGGTTTATTGACAAAGCCTCAGATCGACGTTAACAATCACGCATATTAAAAAATAAGGCGAGAAGTAACTACGATGCGTGTTTGAACACTAGAACGTTATGAATGCACAGCGCTTAGACTATAGCAGTAGGCAATAGAAAGTATGTAGGCGATAGAGAAAAACAGTTGATTATCATTTCTCAGATGTTCAACTGTTTTTCTCTATCGCCTACATACTCTCTGTCGCCTACTGCTATAGTCTAGGCACTGTGTATTCATAACGTTCTAGTGTTCAAATATGCATCGTAGTTACTTTCCGCCTTATTTTTTAATATGCGTGATTGTTAACGTCGATCTGAGGCTTTGTCAATAAACCACGAGTGAGCAATTTGTGTTAAATATTCGCAATGTATGTACTCATATTATTTGCTGACGGTATATATTACGTGTGTCAAAGAAAAAATATAGTGAAATCCAGGAATAAATATATCGCAAAATATTAATATGATAAAAGATATACTTGTCGTATCTTAGCACATCATGGTAAGTATAACAATGTACTTACAAAAATGTAATATTAAATAAAATTATTGAAGTCTCCGATACTACATTTCTTTATATTATAAAAAATATTAATGTACTAAATGATAATAAAAAATCCTTGCTTAGGAATATATCAAAAATTGTGTTGCAACGTACATTGACATTAGTACCTCGGAATGTATCTAAAGCCCAGAATACGAGTAAGATATTTAATTTATATCTCGTATTGTTATTTTTTATCTTAATGTGAAATATATGTGTATTTTATAAATCATAAATTGAATAAATATATTTTTTTCAGGAAACGATGTGATAAAGGAAGCAGAAGATACTATCATTCTTGATGTTACTGATAAAAATGGTGGTAACGAACCCACAACATGATGAACGATAAGAATAACCATACTGAAACATGTGAATTAGATACAGGGATTTGTGAACAATTGGAGAGTGTCATATATACAGAAATATATAGACAAATGTAAAGTGATAGAGAAAAATCAAATGAAGGTTTCACAAATTTTATTAATTTATATAAGTATAAATTTTCACATCGATATGAGCAAACATAGATATATTTATACTGCTACATTTATTTTAAAATATATCTTGTTGTGCTTTAAATTTATACTTATTTACTGATATGGGTACTTTTATCTAGATATTTGGGTACTTTTCAGACCTTTTTAACTTATTTATTTAATTAATAATTATAAATCATAAATTGAATTAAATTATTTTTTTCAGAAAATGATGTGATAAAGGCAACAGAAGATATCATTCTTGATGTTACCGATAAAAATGATAAAAACGAACCCACTAACATGATGAAAGATAAAAGTAACCATACTGAGACGTGTGAATTAGATACAGAGATTTGTGAACAATTAGAGAGTGAAATATATACAAAAATATGTAGACAAATGGAAAGTGATAGAGCAAAATCAAATGAAAGTTTTACAAATTTTACTAATATGTAATTTTACTAATAAATATGAATAAGTATAAATTTTCACATTGATATAAGTAAACATATAGATAGATTTATATTGTTACATTTATTTTAAAATATATCTTGTCCCGATTTAAGTTTATACTTATTTATTTATACAGGAACTTTTATATAGATATTTTGGTAATACTGAGACGTTTCTAACTTCTTTATTTAATTACTAATCTCATTATTTATACAGAATCTATTTTAACTTATCTATTAAATATTTATTAATTTTTATAATAATTTATAAAAATTAATAAATTATTATAAAAATTAATATTCTTCTTATCCGCGACTATATATATGTAAGATTAAATAATTAGATCTTATATATACATATATACATACATAAAGATTTATATGCATAAATCATATTTTATATATTCACATATAAGAAGTTTAACACTATTTAAAGTAATGATGTAACACATTTACTTATTGATTTTTTCGGAATGCTTTACTAGTAATAATAGTATGCAAGACAATTTAGGAAAATATACTTCTTATATACTATCGAATACTTCATCTGATAAAAGTTTAACTCAATCTACAATAAATAATCAAATTCTATTGTTAAAAACTAATAATTACACAAATACATCTAACAGATTGGATGTATCCACGTTTATAAATGTGTCAGAAAAAGCCCGAGATGACACCGAAATGTTTGTTCTGCCTCTGGATGTGGGGAAAAAAAAACATTTTTGTATGTAATGCAATACATTCCAATGTAAAATAGCTCGTCATTTGGGACCAGTACATGATAATTAGAGGTACAAATATTTAAAACTTTAGTGAAAGGAAGTGTGGAGCGAAGGAAAATTATCCAAACAATCCGAAAACGTGGCGATTTTTATTTTAATGTTGATTGTGCACGAAATAACGGCGAATTGCTCGTAGAAAGGCGTTCTAAAAAAATATATAAAAGATTACCATCTGATTATGTTGTATGTCCAAGATGCAAAGCATTTATATTAAAGTGTACAAGCAGACATCACTATAAGAGATGTATTGTATTCAAAACTAAAGATACTAGAATGATATCGATTTTAGGCATGGCTGCAACGAGAGGCTAGAAGCTTTAATGTTCATAAAAATTATTAAATAAAAAACTACCCTTATTTCTTATTATTTGATTGTATTTCAACGTGCAATTCCATTTGATTGTTTTTTGATTATGTAATTCTAGCACTAAATTGTGAAAAAAATATATAATATACACAAACCATACATATTACCTATATTATTTATTATCCGAACTTAAATATATGTAACGATGGACCGAAAGGCATCGTTACGGGTATCGTTCGATTACATTCGTGAGCGATTTTCCGATACCCTCCACCTTGCTAAAAGAACCATGGAACTGCGACAAGCGCCGCGATATGTAAACACGACATCCGTGTCGAGAAAGCCAGATAAATAATACGCGGTTATCTGTCAAACCGAGGAAGAGAACCAGGAGATTCTTGTATATATAGTTGCGATGACCGAATGAGAGAGATTCATCCGAGCGATCTCTGCCAAGAGAGAGCACTCTTAGTCTGTAGATGCTCAGCACTTCCTTTCCACCTTAAATACGCGGTAAAATTCCATCCAGAAAACGAGCAGCGGATACATGGCCGCTTCCTAGTTCCGCTGATCCGTTGCGCGAATCTCCGTCACCGACCTGAGGATCGCGAATTTGCGACCCTACTTCCGGACCTAACCTAATAAATCAGTGAATGCGCGGATTTTATTCATCATTCCAACCGTAATCGAAATACCGTGGATTCGCAGCATTCCACACTGACCTATAAGTCCGCATACGCGACTCCTAATCTTCGTTAACAACCAATTTTCCAGTCGTTCACAAGTATACACGCACACCGAGAATTGTATTGCGTATAACTAACTGTCTCGCTTAATCCACCGTGCGAGTCCTTCATCCCTTCCTTCAATATATGGCTCTGGGCTTGTGGGAGTAGTACGCTGTCCCCACAATCAAAAAATATGCGCAATTACAAGAACCACATCAAACCGCCACAGAAGACTTACACCGTGCGAATCGAACTCGCGCTCACGACCCCGGCCGAGTCTTCGCGCCACGTGCGCATCCATAGACATAGGGCGTGTTCCAAAATTCACTGCCAGTACTGAAAATATATAAGATCTGTTTTTTATCGCTGAATTAGTGTACACTCAGGGAACATAAAAAGAAATAGATATACATCTAGGAGTTAGTGAAAGGGAGTGGAGAAGAGAATAAATGTAAGATAGTGCAGCCAGTTCAGCAATAAAAAACAAACCTATAGTTTGTATCACGCAAACTATAACTTTTCAGCGCTGGCAGTGAATTTTGGAACACGGCCTAGATATATTATGTCTATGCGCGCACCTGTTTCGTACATTAAAAACAAGTAAATATTGACGGCGTTAAATTACCGCGAGTAATTCACCCACTCGCACCATACATAAACACTCCGTAAATATAGCTTGTACATATACTTGGACAAATTAAAGAGACACATTGATTTTCACCAATTAAAAATGAGTTACAAATCAATCACCTACTCTTCGTTACTTTCTCCGAACCCGGCAAACCGACGAGCCGAATCCAGAAAAGATCGCCCGTTACATATATACAGGGTTGGAAAGTTACTTTTTAAAAGTAACTCGTTACCGTTACCATTACTTTCGGTAAAAAGTAACTCGTTACCGTTACTCGTTACTGATCTTAAAAAATAACGCGTTACCGTTACTTGAAAGTAACGATATTTTATTTCGTTACTTTCCGTTACTTTTTTTTGTTGTAAATCCAGGATTATAAGAAAGGTGCTAAGACAAGATATAAATCGGACATAAGACGATTAGAAATATATATATATATATATATTTAAATATTTTTATTATTTTATGTTATTAAGTATTGTATTTAATGAAAAGTTTCTTAATTAGTGGATATGTATTTAATATTTGGACATTAGTGCCTGTTGACTTTAAAAATCTTTGCCATTCATCATAGGCAGATTTCTCATTTGATGTTTGCTATTTAAAATTAAAAAAGTCATCGTTATTATTGTGCTTATCAGACATCAAAAAATTTTTAATTGAAAGAATTCCTTATAAATCTTCTAAATACGTTTGCGCAAGTTTTCACTTATCTTCAGCTAACCAACTCAATTTGGGATGCAAACAGCTGGCAATTATCAATTCTTCTTTTTCGAATGTAGTATAAAACCTAAAGTTGAATCAATAAAATTAAATATGAACATATTGGTTTTTCTTTTTGATCAGATGAATGTTGTTTGATGAACATATGTATTAACCAAATTACACCAACTTACCTTTCTTTTACACCTTTCTGTATAGCTAAGGCCAATGGATGACAATATGTGAGTCCATCTTTATTGGTTCTCATTAAATTCAGCATAAAACAAAAAATGCATAGAAATTAAATACAATTAAGTTTAATTTTATAAAAATTAAAAAGTAACGATTAAAGTAACGGACGTTTTGTTACTCGTTACAAAAAAAATGTATCACCGTTACTTTTTCGTTACTGACACCAAAAAGTAACGGCGTTCCCTAATCGTTACTCAAAAAAGTAACGATACGGCGTTACAAGTAACGCGTTACTTCCCAACCCTGCATAAATAATATTCGATTATAATCTATTCATAATTTCTTAAGCCCACAATAGATAAGAATTGTACATTCCTAGTAAGCAAAATGATTGTGTATTGAGCGCAAATTGACAGCAAATTCGGTCAAAACTTGATATCAAAACCGTAGCTATCTGTGTCCTCATTTAGCTTGTGTTTTGGCGTCAAGGTTTGCTGCCGAGCAACTTGTAACAAAAACCGTGCAAGTCTTGTAGCGCACCAAGATTTGCTCGGTTTTCGTCAATTTGGCGTCAAATCGCTATAAGTTCTGCGCGGCTTTTACCGTAAATTTGCACCAAATTTCCGACAGCAGTAGAACAGAATATGAGCAATGTAATACTTCGCTAATGACGTCGATATCTCTACTCGTTGCCGAGATATAAGCGAAAAATGCACACGCCGTGAAAAAGTTCGGTCGACATGTCGCAGTGTGTACGCACCTTGACATTTCGCTTACCGCATACCCTTCATTAATCTCATTATATAATTTTCATTCCTGCAGAGCAGATGACGCATTTTTACGAATATTGTTGATATGTTAGGCGTTTACAGAAAATAGGCGTAAGTGTGAAATTTTGGCGCCAAAAGGAGCAGCATGCATGAGCGTCCGTGTCACTTTCAAACCGCCCGTACCATTTCGCATAAAATTGTTGAGATTTGCGCGTCAGTGAATTCTTTATTAAGGATAAAAAATTATTTCAGCTAAAGAATCCCAAACATTGACAAAAGACGATGCCGCCGGCAGTTCCCCGAAACAAATGATTGTCATCGTAGATACAGTCTGCTCAGCAGGTACAGACGCTTTCAAAGATGCCGCTCACACAATACGATCCTTTTAGGCCTGAAAAATTATAGTGGCACATTATTCGCTTATATCTCTGCAACCTCTGCATATAAGATATGGTCGATGTTCCACAATAAATGCTTTCGCGGTATTCTGTTCTACTCGAGTTGATTATTCATAACGATACGATTAATGACCCTGTGATGAACGCAATGTGAAAGCGCTCTCATCTTGCGTCTTGTCAGCCGAACTCGTTAGCGGCATTTACATTTTTCGCTTATATTTCGGCAACCACTCGAGATATCGATGTCCCACCAACAGCATTATCTTCCCTGCGTCCTGTTCTATGAGGATTAGTGGTTTCTAATGATACGAATAATGAGCATTCGATAATTATTGAGAGAGACCGCGTAAGCACGGCACGGGACAAGCTCTTACACGCGCACTTACCCGCTTCAATTAACGAACTCTTATTATTCGTACCATTATAAACTATTAATCCCAGTAGAACAGAATATGAGCAATGTAATACTTCGCTAATAACGTCGATATCTCTACCCGTTGCCGAGGTATAAGTAAAAAATGCACATGCCGTGAACAAGTTCGGTCGACATGTCGCAGTGTGTACGCACCTTGACATTTCGCTTACCGCATACCCTTCATTAATCACATTATATAATTTTCATTCCTGCAGAGCAGATGACGCACTTTTACGAATATTGTTGATATGTTAGGCATTTACAGAAAATAGGCGTAAATGTGACTGAGAAATTTTGGCGCCAGAAGGAGCAGCATGCGTGACCGTCCGTGTGTCTTTCACACCGCCCGTTCCATCTCGCATAATTATGTATTTCTCATGTAAAAGGATGGTGATTTGTATTAAACAAGAGTTTTATCGCCGCTTTTTACGGTCTTTTATCGCTGGTCATTGGTTACCTCTAATACAGATTAATGTCTGATATTTAATAATTTTCCCTTAAGTTTTTGTTAATTATACCGACTTAAGCTTTTCTATATATAATATCGTCGTGATGTAGCTCTGATTTATTATCTTAGTTTATTTTTCAATTGCTTCTTAATATATGTTGTCATCTACGGCTAGTCGTTGACTTTCACAGCAATCCAAATCTTAAAATCTTTAAGAATTTTCATTCCTGAACTGATACTCTACAGCGACTTGAGCTCTTTTCTACATAATATCGTCGTGATGTAGCTCTGATTTATTATTTTAGTCTATCTCTCAAATGCTTCTTAATATATGCAGTCATCTATACCTTGTCTTTGACTTTCATGGTAATTGTAACCTTAAAATCTTTAAGAATTTTTATTCCCGAACTGAGACTGTCCAACGACTTGGGCTCTTCTACACATAATATCGTCGTGAAAGAGCATTGATTTATTATTTTAGTCTATCTCTCAATTGTTTCTTAATATATGCTGTCATCTATACCTTGTCGTTGACTTTCATCGCAGTGGAGATCTTAAAATTTTTAAGAATTTTTATTCCCGAACTGAGACTGTCCAACGACTTGGGCTCTTCTACACATAATATCGTCGTGATACAGCACTGATTTATTATTTTACTCTATCTCTCAATTGTTTCTTAATATATGCTACCATCTATACCTTGTCGTTGACTTTCATGGCGGTGGAGATCTTAAAATCTTTAAGAATTTTTATTCCTGAACTGATACTGATACTGAACTGATACAACGACTTGAGCTCTTCTATACATAATATCGTCGTGTTGTATCACTGATTTATCATCTTAGCCTATCTATCAATTGCTTCTTAATATATGCTGTCATCTATACATTGTCATTAAATTTCATCACAATCAAAATCTTAAAATCTCTAAGAATTTTCATCTCAGGACTGAGACTATCCGGAGACTCGCGCTTTTCTAGACATACTATCATTATGTTATATTTCTAACTTATTATTTTACTTGGCTTCTCAATTGCTTCTCAACATGTGTTGTCGCCTACACCTTGTCATAAATTTCATTGCAGTAGAAATGTCTCAATCTTCTACATCTTACATATGAGACACGAGACATATTGAAAAGCGATTGAGAGGCAAACTAAAATAATAAATTGGAACTATTTCGCAATGACATTATGCTTAGGAAAGCACGAGTCGCTGTATAATCTCAGCCTTGAGATAAAAATTCATATACATTTTGATTGCGATGAAATTAACGACAAAGTACAAGAGACATCATACATTCGAAAACGATTAAAGGGTAAACTGAAATAATAAATTAGAGCTCCATCACGACAATATTATACATGGAAAAGTGTGAGTCTATACAGTTAACATGAACTTGGGAAAATAATGTTTAAAATTGAGAATTTTGCTATAATGAAATTTATGACAAGGTATAGGGGACAACACATGTTGAAAAGCTATTGAGAAGCCAATTAAAATAATATATTAGAACTAAAACATAATGATATCATGCCTAGAATAGCTCATGTCGTTGGGCGGTCTCAGTTCAGAAATATAAATTCTTAAAGATTTTAAGATTTCGATAGCGATCAAAGTTAACGACAAGATATAGATAACAGCATATATTAAGAAGCAATTAGAAGATAGATCAAAATAATAAATCAGAGTTACATCACGACGATATTATGTATAGAAAAGCGCAAGTCGGTATAATGAGCAGAAACTTAGGGAAAAATTAATAAATATTAGGTACGAATTTGTATTTCTTGACTACATGTACTCCTTCATGTGTGACATGATTATTATAAAAATCAATAACTCTGTTATGTCGTCCAATTTTAATATTTGTTTTCCATCCTTTTATACGGTTGCAGTTTAACTTGTTGCATGTGTAAGATACAGACGAGGGAGGACAGCACCAGTCTCTTCCGGGGGAGCCACGGGAGAAAGGCCGCTCCTGTGTTCGATTCGACGGATGGAATAAAACGAGACGAATGGCGGCAGGGACAGGGGCAAGGACGAGACGGAGGCAAGGCTTTTTGCCATTTAACGTTGAGACGGAGAATAAAAATAGAGTCGAGTCGAAAGACAAGTCGTAGATCGTTAAGCTTTGTAAAGCGATATATTTAGTATAAATTGCGGTGTCGGTATTATTGTATTTGAGTTCTTTTAAAATATACATATACTTATATTCTTGTTCACTATAAGAGGAGTTTCACGTTGATCGCTCGGAACCTTTACATCCTGAACATCCCCTTTTTCTAACTAAGGAGGAGGATCTAGAAGGAGAGAAAGAGAAAGAGAAAGGAACAAAGATATAGACGATATCTCTTTTAAATCTTACACATGCATGGGTTATTATGATAAAGAAGTTAACCTCAAACTTTGATATTTTATAAAATATATACATGTATATAGCTAAATGATGTTAATTTTGTATTCCTCATAAAAAGGGATGTAGATTTATATTAAGCAAAAGTTTTGTCGTCGTTTTTATGATCCTTTAGCGCTATTCATTGGTTAACTCAAATGCAGATTCGTACCTAATATTTAATAATTTTCTCAAAGTTTTTGCTAAATATACCGACTTGCGCTTTTCTGTACATAATATCGTCGTGTTGTTACTCTGATTTATCATTTTATCCTATCTTTCAATTGCTTCTTAATATATGCTGTCATCTATACATTGTCATTAATTTTCATCGCAATCGAAATCTTAAAATCTTTAAGAATTTTCATCTCAGGACTGAGACTATCCGGAGACTCGCGCTTTTCTAGACATACTATCATTATATTATATTTCTAACTTATTATTTTACTTGGCTTCTCAATTGCTTCTCATGTGTTGTCGCCTACACCTTGTCATAAATTTCATTGCAGTAGAAATGTCTCAATCTTCTACATCTTACATATGAGACACGAGACATATTGAAAAGCGATTGAGAGGCAAACTAAAATAATAAATTGGAACTACTTCGCAATGACATTATGCTTAGGAAAGCACGAGTCGCTGTGTAATCTCAGCCTTGAGATAAAAATTCATATACATTTTGATTGCAATGAAATTAACGACAAAGTACAAGAGACATTATACGTTGGAAAACGACTAAAGGGTAAACTAAAATAATAAATTAGAGCTCCATCACGACAATATTATACATGGAAAAGCGTGAGTCTATACAGTTAACATGAACTTGGGAAAAAAATGTTTAAAATTGAGAATTTTTTGCTGCAATGGAATTTATGACAAGGTATAGGAGACAACACATGTTGAAAAGCTATTGAGAAACTAACTAAAATAATATATTAGAACTAAAACACAATGATATCATGCCTAGAAAAGCTCATGTCGTTGGGCGGTCTCAGTTCAGAAATATAAATTCTTATAGATGTTAAGATTTCGATAGCGATCAAAGTTAAGGACAAGATATAGATAACAGCATATATTAAGAAGCAATTGAGAGATAAATTAAAATATTAAATCAGTGCTTCATCACGACGATGTTATTTATAGACAAGCACAAGTCTGTATAATTAGCAATAACTTAACAAAAAGTTATTAAATATTAGGTACTAATCTATATTTGTGGATTACATGTAGTTTTTCATGACTATATAATTATTATAAAAATAAACATAGTTATTATACCGTGCATTTATTCTCTCACATATTTGCCAATTTTTGTCGAAGCTTTACGTACTAGATTGCAATATTAACCCAGTTATTGTATTTATCTAGATGATTTTTATCTTCTTCATAAGTTTTATAAGTTTATAATCACCTTCCATTTATAAAGAAAACTAATTTTTTCTGCAAGTTTATTTTGTAATCTTTGACGCATGCTTTATGACTATAACACAAGCGTTGGATGTCTTTGCTCAGATACTATATATAAAAAAATAGCTACGCAGCGACGTAAAGCGATAATGATGTCGCAAAAATTTCGATCTGTACGCTGATTGAGTATTCGAAACCATAAATGTAAAAAGAAACTACTTTTAATTTTTATGTGTTCACTAATATTTTTTTCAATTCACTCCGCTATGTGTATAAATAAAAATAATAAATTAAATTAAATCACATTAAGTTGCTATGCTACCATTTTGTGTTTCGTCCAGTGCGAACTATATTCTTTATATGAAAATGATTTGCTGTTGTTTGCATTATGGTCCTAATAAAATACGGTGCACCAAAAGAATGAATAGTACATACGGTTTGTATATTAGCGGGACATAAAATTTTATATGGTCTTGATAAAATACGTTTTATTCACATTGGTTTTACCGGGACGGTCTCGATAAACTACGGAATATAAAAAGTATTATAAGGACCGACCCACTAAGAGCCAATGGTCCCGCTAAAATACATTACAATCTAAAAAGGGTCCTTCTAAACTACTCTATATAAACATATATATATATATATATATATGTGTGTATAAAACACATAAACATATATATTTTAAAGCGATTATTAAGGGAAGAAAAAATTATAATTATAATAAAACACGAGTGTACGCTCCAGCTGACATCTTACGTTGCGACGGGCCTCAGCGATCCGCGATCGTCGCCTCGGCCGCTGAGCGCGGAACGGTGGAAGGGGAACGGTGGGTGTCACCGCTTGAAATCCGGCCGAAAAGGGCACTTAGTCTCCAGCTCTGTCCTAGACCATTGCTGCCTGTTGCTAATAGATGTCTAGTGAAGGTTCTTACAGTATGTGTGATAACGTCACCCATACGTCAAAAGAAAAAATATGGCGGCGGTGTAGGCCAGACTCGAACCTGGGCTCCGCGGTTGCTATCGAACGCTCGAACCTCCTAGACCACTGTCGCCTATTGCTAGTAGAGGTCTAATGAAGGTTCTTACAGTATGTGTGATGACGTCACAATACGTCAAAAGAAAGAACATGGCGGCGGTATAGGCCAGACTCGAACCTGGGTCTCGCGGTTGCTATCGAACGTTCGAACCTCCTAGACCACCGTCGCCTATTGCTAGTAGATGTCTGGTGAAAATTCTTACAGTATGTGTTATGACGTCACGCATACGTCAAAAGAAAAAACATGGCGGCGGTATAGGCCAGACTCAAACCCCGGACCCTTCGTTTAATGTGCCATATCGAACGTCTTTCAAACGTCTCTCGAACGTCTATCGAATGTCTATCAATCGTCTCTCGGACGTCTATCGAACGTCTCTCGAACGTCTATCGAACGTCTCACGAACGTCTCTCGAACGTCTATCGAACGTCTATAGAACGTCTCTCGAACGTTTATCGGACGTATCTCGAACGTCTCTCGAACGTCTATCGGACGTCTATCGAATGTTTGTGCTTACAGTTTCTCCAAACGGTAGAGGATCAATTTAAATGATGATGACATTCCACTAACAACAGTCAGTATTCGTTCGACAGTTTGCAAACATGTTGCTAACGCTTACGTTGACCGGCAACAGTAGCACCCTTACGGTGAGCTACTTTCCCGCTATAGATTTGAGCGATGGTGATTACGAGCTCGGTTTAACGGATTTCGAAGCATACAATACGATACCAAACGTAAATTCGTTGAATAATAAATTTTACTATGGTGCTAACGATGAAAAAATTACGATTCCTGAAGGATCGTACGAATTGCGCGCCATATACGAATATCTAAAACGTGCAATTTCACATTCTCAAAAAACAGTGCGTTCCAAAAATAACCCATATATATTGATGACGATAATGAATATCCTATAATAATTCGTGCCAATAATAATACGATGAGGAGTGAAATAAAATGTGCTTCTAGAATACATTTTAGCAAACCAAACAACATTGGCTCGCTTTTAGGATCTCATTGAGTCGTGTATTAGAACCTTACCGATGGTGCGAATCGGACGCACCGATTAAGATTATTACGTGAATATCATTCGTTTAGAATGCAGCGTTGTCAGTGGTGCGTACAGCAACAGTATGCGTGTACATACGATACATGAATTCTCACCTAAAGTGCCACCAAGATATAAGATATCGAAAATGCCGGCGCATGTTATTTACCTTCCAATCATCGCACGGAGCATTACAGATTTAACGGTGCGTGTCGTCAATCAAGAAGGACAATCACTCGATTTTCGCGGAGAAGAGATTACCATTAGATTGCACGTACGACGGCAACGATAATAAACATAATCTATGAAATGCTTGTGGTGAATCAAGTCGAACAGGAGAAACAAGCTGGAAATATATATTTTACGAGACACGCGATTAAGAGTACAAAATCCCTCGTTCGAAAGAAACTCAGCACGTTGAACATTGAACATTTGAAATCTCTGGGATTCATCGTACGAAGCGATTGAGAAAGATGATTGACATTTTGAACATTGGAAGTGAACCGGTCTTTGACGATCGCACCGTCAAGATTGAGACACATACGTACAATCCATATGCTAACACAACGTTTGGATATGGCGACGAGATACGAATACCCATACAGCAACAGGATTTATACATATTGCCATGCGAGAGTTATCTCTATGTCGAGGGGAAGATGACGAAACAAGTTGCAGTCGATGGTGCGACTGTAACGTTGGGATATAATTGCATTGCATTCATGTTTGATGAGATCCGTTATGAACTGGATGGTGTGAAGATTGATTGTAACAGAAACGTGAGAATAACTTCAACGCTCAAAAACTATATATCGATATCTTCAGACGAAAATGCTGTCATGAAAAATGCCACGTGGGATACGACTGACACTATTTCGCCGGACGGGTACTTCAACTTTTGCGTACCACTCAACGTGTTGCTAGGATTCTGTGAAGACTACAAGCGTATAGTGATTGACGCGCGTCACGAATTGATGCTATTACGATCACGCAGCGACAACAACAGTCTACTAAGATCTCCAGCACTGAATCCTAAGATTGAGATATTCAAGATACAATGGCGAATGCCTCACGTGAATGATATCAATAAACTTTCCATGCTGAAAACTTTGGAGAACGAACGATACTTGAATATGAGTTTCTGCTCGTGGGATCTGTATGAATTTCCTCTACTGCAAAGCACGACCAAACACCAGTGGACCGTCAAAACTGCTACTAATTTAGAAAAACCTCGATACCTTATCTTTGCGTTGCAGACTGGCCGGAAGAATGTCATGTCAGAAAATATAACTTGTTTCGATGACTGCAAATTGATCAACGCGAAGCTCTATCTGAATTCAGAGTGTTATCCGTACAATGACATGAATTTGGACTTTGTAAAAAATAAATACGCCGTACTTTACGATATGTATAGACGTTTTCGTAAATCGTATTATGGATGGAACAGTGCTGAGGTATGGTTAACAACTACCGACTTTCTGTGGCTAGGTCCTTTCGTGGTTTCGATTGTTCGTCAATATGAGTCCGTCAAGAGCACCACAGTAGATGTGCGGATAGAATTTGAGTGTAAGGAGAATATATCGGCGAATACTACCGCGTACTGTCATCTCATCTTGCATCGTATAGTTGAATACAGCCCGCTAACCGACATAGTGCGCAAACTCAACTAACATCAGAAAGTATGTATGAGAGAAGAATAATACACGAAACAAAGTGCTATAAACGGCATTTCTCTCCCGGACGTGTCAAAAATTGTACGACGCTTAATAAAAACATTATTTCAAATGTACAGATGTTTCTTCCAACACGCTTATCCCCTTTCACCTCTAGGATTTTATATGATAATTGTGTTTGATGAAAAATACAGTTCTTTATTTGCGGTCTGATGCTTATTAGACGTTCGAGAGACGTTCGAGAGACGTTCGAGAGACGTCCGATAGACGTCCGATAGACGTTCGAGAGACATTCGAGAGACGTCCGATAGACGTTCGAAAGACGTCCGATAAACGTTCGATAGTAATCACGGAATCCAGGTTCGATAATAATCACGGGGCTCAGGTTCGACCCTACCTACACCGCCGCGATGTTTTTTCTTTTGACGTATGCGTGACGTCATCACATACACTGTAAGAACTTTCACTACACATCTACTAGCAACAGGCAGCAATAGTCTTCCTAGACTATTCCTAGACCAGGAGGTTCGAGCGTCCGATAACAACCGCGGGGCCCAGATTCGAGTCTAGCAACACCCGGCACGCTTTTTCTCTCATGACGTCACGGCCGTCATCTTGCTCATAGAATCAAAAATTCTGGGGAGGAGGAGGGTATCAATAAAGAGGGGGAATCAATAAAGGGAAGGAATCAATAAAGGGGCGGTATCAATAAAGGGGGGATGTTAATTAAAAAATATTAATTAATAAATAATGTCTTTTGCATAATTAATTAGCAATTTGAGTTAGAATCCCTCTTGTTTATCTATCGAGAAATGTTGTAACAATTTGGTGGTAATATATGAGTGCAACGAGGCAAAATATATTTTCTTGTAACATGGTATTTCGTGGGACTCGTTGCGATGTTTCGTACGACGCTCGCTTTATTAAAATATTAAAAATTTTTGACGGCTGGATTGCAAAATCTGGCTCTGTAGGGACTTCGATAGTTCGATAGTCGAATAGTTCAAGGAATATTCCATATAAATTTGACGGTTACATATATCGCCAACGAGGCGGATCTCTTCTTGTAAAATTGTACGTGATCCGCTCCGACGCTTCATACATCTTTATTTATTTATGATACATTTTTCATGGCCTGACTGCAAAATCTGGCTCTGTAGGTTTCTCGGGGTTAGTTCAAAGAAGATGCTATAACAATTTGACGGTTAAATATATCGTCAACGAGGTGAAATTTTGCATCTCCTACAATCATTTCTCGACTGATTCGCTCCAACGCCTACGGATGGCTTTATTTATATATGATAAATTTTTGACGGCCGGATTGCAAAATTTGGCTCTGTAGGGACCTCGATAATACAGGGTTTTTCAATTGGTGCGGGTCGATGTTGGCAGCCTGTGGCGGCCATGTTTTGGCGGCGTCTGTCTAACCTGTTGTTTATTATTCAGTCACTGATGCCAAATCACCATGACAAGTTACACGATTGAGCAGCACGTCCAAATGATAAAACTTTATTATCAAAATGAGTGTTCGTTAGTGCAAACGTTGCGCGCGTTGTGCCCATTTTACGGCAGACGCGGTGGCCCTTCAAAGTCGACTTTCCAACGTTTGGTGACCAAATTCGAGACGACCGGTTCGGTAAACGATCAGCCAACACCCGTACGTCAAAAGAACGCCAGATCAACCGAGAACATCGCCGCTGTAAGTGAAAGTGTGCAGGAGAACCTGAGGTAGTCAATTCCTCGCCGTGCACAAGAACTCGGCCTTTCGCAGACTTCAACTTGACGAATTTTGCGTCGGGACTTGGGCCTGCACCCGTACAAGATCCAACTGGCCCAAGAGCTCAAAGTTAATGACCATAGACAACGCCGCTTGTTCGCTGACTGGGCTTCGGAGCATTTGGAAGAGGACCCCAATTTTGGCCGAAAAATCATCTTTAGCGACGAGGCGTATTTTTGGATGAATGACTATGTTAACAAGCATAATTGCCGTATATGGCACGACGCCAACCCACACGAGGTTCAACAGGTAGCAATGCATCCACAAAAAGTTACTGTTTGATGCGGATTTTGGGCCGGCGGCGTCATTGGTCCGTACTTTTCCGAAAACGTTGGTGAGGCCATCACCGTCAATGGCGAACGCTACAGAACGATGATAACCAATTTCTTTTGGCCCAAATTGAACGATAT